AATTCAGTCTAAAAACAAGCTTAACCTTTGCTTGGGCGAGTTTGTTGAGTTTATAAAGGGTTAGGATAAGTTTCCCCCGATTTACACTTTAGTCCCAAAATTTCTAGGCGATTACATAGTCGACTGCAGCCGCGGCTGAACGCGGCGTGACTGCAGTGAGATGCAACTATTCTGCCACAATCGTTTGCCCTACCGCGTTCCAGCTGCGATCGCGGTGGCCTCTTGTCCAGTCCTCCTTTTCCTCTTTCTTGCTTATTTTCGTTTGGGTTCTTCTTGATTGGCCTTATATCCACATTATTGACTCCAAAACACTCCATAGTCTCTTCCTAACTTGGATTAGTTCCTGCAAAGCAAAAGAACACCAATTAGAGTATTTTGTTATCATTTTGCCTTTAAAACAACAATAAAGTATGGTACATTTAGAGTGTAAATAGCATCTATATAGTATACTATCAAGTATGCTTTATCAGTGACATTTGTTTGCAACAAATTTTAGTAAGACGAAAAATAAACTACAACAAAAAATAATATAAAGAAAAAAAGAGATACTATTGATAAATATTTGTGAGTACAATTCAATGTGTCCCTTTATTCTCCTCTCTAAAATTCTCCGTGATTCGAGTGCTTGAGAAGCGTCTACATTTTCCAAGAACGTCGAGTAGCACTTTGTTCTTACGGGTTGATCTCCAGGAAGAACTCCGTTGATCACTCCTTTGTCGAAGAACATGCACTTGATGATTGATCTCTCTGTTTGTGGATGCCTTCACCAATTGTGGAGTGTTCTTCTCCAACTTTGAATGTCCTCTGAGAGTTATGTAACCCCTCTATTTATAGTTGTAGAGAGTGGACAGTCTAGCTACATATGAACTCTCTTGCTTGATTCTGATTGGCCCATGTCATTTTAGCCACTTGGCGACTTGTAGTTGGTTCTTGCTTTTTGACTTGGATTGCCACATCATTTAACATATGGCATCACCTTATTGGCCTACAGTTTGACTGGATATGCCATGTCACTTGCCACGTGGGTACGAGTCTGGGCCATAAGATGAAATGGACCTTGGGCTTGAAAATAATAAAATGGACTAATTTAACTTGTAAAGTCCAAATTAATTATTTAACCCAATTGAATTTAATCCAAATTTTGTATGGATTAGACCTAATAAATTTTATATGTCTACAGATGCCTCCTACTTCAAGATTTGTCGACTGTAGGCTTGTCGAAAGTCGAAGATGGGCTTGAAGTATCCATGAGAAGAACACTTTCTTTCTTGCCCATAAATAAAGGACTTGAATTCTTTGGGAAATCGTGACTCTCCCGTGAAGCCTAAATCGAATTAGAAAAAAAAATTGACGCCAAGTGTGTTGTACTTAAACAATACTTTATTAGGAACCTTTATAGCAAAATTATGGTACCCAAAACATGGTCACATTGAACAATTTTTGACAATTCCACCAATGATCGATTTCTTATGACAAAATCACGTCAGACTAATGCTTGAAGCTTTCCCCTCGTCCACTTTGACTTGAATTCAAATACATCTTAGAAGTTACCTTCTAATGAATATTTACCATTTAAAACTTTCAAGAATTTCCTATTTTACTTTAAGAAGAATTCTTTTTTCATAAGGAAAGTTCCACTATCTTAAACAATCTATATAAGGGATCTTTGTTTCCTTTACCTTGACATATGAGAGTCGTGAACATAGGGTTTCTTTCATGCTTAACACGGCTGCTCATAGTCTACTTTCACTTCTTTCTTCATTTATTTTTTTCTCTAAACAGAAAGAATATCAACCATGCCCTTTTTAATTGAAGTACCAGTCAGCCATCTTTGTATCCTTGCGAAAACAAATTCATATTTTGTTTTAGGAGACTTCAAATCATAAACCCCTTGCTTCTACTGATACTAGACTCATAGGACTGAAACATATCAAAAAATTAGCACGAATCTCCTTTTGTATCAGCTGGAATTAATTTTCAAAGTCGATTTACACGTCTGGCCCCTGTTGAGCTCACAGCTTTGCGCACTCTCAGCAAAAGATTCATATCTTGAGATTGAAGAGTCCAAATCGTGAGCCGCTTGATTCTACCGATTCTATACTCAAATAAATCTAACATAACAAAAATCAAGAGCCAAATTCCTTATGTATTGTCTGGAATTAAATTTTGAATTTGGCATACACGTCTGTCCTGCTGATCTCACAGCTTTGCACACTCTGCGCAAAAAAAAAATCGTATCTCGAGATAGGAGCGTTCAAATCACAACCCGTTTGCGGCTCTGAAAATTAGATTCCTGGAGTTACAACATATGTAGAAATCACAGTCAGGATGTCCCTAGGTTTTCCCAGATAATTTGCTGAATCTAAAATATGAGTTCCGACATGCTGGCTCGAGTTTTCAGCTTTGCGTGCTCTTGCTAAAAAATGCATATCTCAAGATAGGAGCATCCGAACTACAAGCTGTTTACACCATTGGTAAGAAGACTCAGTGAGATACAAAATCTATAAACGTCTAAGCTCCTGCCCATTTGATCCAGACGCAACAAATCTTTGATCAATCAAGTGCCGAAATCGAGAGGATTGTTCGAGCATCATATTTCTTTTTTTTCTTTTTTTTTTGTTGCAGGCTCGGAGATGATATACATGGCGAGTTCTCCAATATGCATCATGAGAAGAAGGGTATGGTCACCACTCCTTTTTTGTAGGTTCATGAAGCATATGATCCATCGAGATTTGATGGAGAAGTGCACGTCACAATGCTCACCATGGCGAGTTTTTGTTGCAGGCTCAAAGATGATATACATGGCGAGTTCTCCAATATGCATCATGCGAAGAAGGGGATGTTCACCACTCTTTTTTTGTAGGTTCATGAAGTGTATGATCCATCGAGATTTGACGGAGAAGTGCACATCACAATGCTCACTATCCGCATTGAAGCATCGTGTCATTGATACTTGTACTTGCTGCTGAATCAAAGCTTTGTGTCATTGGCACCAATCAATCATGTGGGATCAACAACTTCATATCACTAGCATCGTGTCAGTGGAAGAAGAAACGTCATGCTATGGCACCGATATCCATTAATCAAGTTGATCGTCGTGCTACTCGCACTGTATCTGCAAAAGCGTCATCTTGTTGGCACCAAGGGCTCCAAAATCTTTTCTTAATTTTGCAGGTTTTCAAGAGAGTATAACAGCAACTTGGTACATCCCTTCTTGCAGCTTGACGAGAGATATTTAGAGTATTCCTAAGCGAGCTTGATCGACGAGCCATATCCCCACTTTGCGACATACGAGCGAGAACATGGTGCATCTCAGCCTTGCGACTTGGCAAGAAAGAGGCTTGGAGCTCGACCGACTATATTTCATCCTTGGTGGGCTAGTGCTTGTTGAACCTTTGCAAAATTATTAATTCCTTGATGTAGGAGCAATGAAATCTGAAGCTTCTTGCTTTCAAAGAATCAAAACTTTAAATGTTACATCCTTTAAAGAATTCACGGATAAATTCCTTGAGGATTAGCCGGAGTCGACTTTTGAAGCTGGTATACATATATGACATTTTGACTTTACAGCACTGTATGTTGTCATCAAAACATATATATCTCAAGCTAGGAATGTCTAAATCGAAAGTCATCTACGCTATTGTAAAGAAGACTCGGAGATAATGAAATCATCAAGATATCATAGAAACATTCCTAGCAGATTGTCTGCAGCAACTTTCTGAACTTGACCCATCTGTCCGCGAAATTGCTTTTCAGCTTTGCGAGCTTTGGTGGAAAAATTCATATCTCAAGTTAGGAGACTCAAAATTGGGATCCGTTTGCGCCATTAGAAATTATATCATAGAGCTGCAATACGTATGAGTTTTGTGGCAGAACTTCTTTCGAGCTGGAAACAGAAAATTCTCAAAATCCACCTAGCTGCAGTAACTTTCAGATTCATGTAGTTCCGACAACAAAAATCGTATCTTGAGTTAGGAGCCTCCGAATCATAAACGGATCATGTTATTGGAAACTAGACATCTAAATCAACAAAATATAAAATGTTTGGGGTAGAACGTCTTCCGGATGGACCACAGTAGTTTTCCAAATTAGATCTCGTCATCCGTTGAGTTCGCTTCCCATCTCTATGCTCTCTGAGTTGTCCTATGAATGTTGTTGTTTTATTGAAATTGACTCTACAGTCTTAAATATAGTAACTTTAGCTATTGTTCTTCACAAATCTTATCTTTTTATTTATTTCTTTTGCAGACTTGCAAAGAAGTTCAACGAGTCTAGACATCAGTCTGAGATGTCATACAAGATGCGGAGTCACCCCTTCACCAACTGTTGCACTTGATTTGTTGACGGTTTTGAAGTTTATCAATGGCGGCTCCCATGGAGATTGAAGGTTTTTTCAAGAGAGATGACTTATTATATATGAGGCATTGAGGATAGTGTGTTAAACTGTGGACATCATATGGACTTGGAAGAAGCATTCAAGACGAGTCGACCACAAAAACTAGGTTACGGTCATTTTCATGACTTAGGCTTTTGTATAGGAAAACGTCTAATTCCTTTTGTCTCTACATTTTTTGATGTATCAACTTTTGTACTATTGAAGCAATAAAATATCTTTTATACTTCAAAGCAAATAGTCTCTTTTCCTCATAGATATGTGCCTCTACACTTGGAAGAAATAATGTAATGATCTGATGTTGCTAACTTTTATTTTTTTAAAACTCATGCGACTGAACTTAGAACGAAACTCTAAGATGCCTACGTTCCTCAGTGAAGAGGATCAAGTCATAACTTAGTTCAGAGGGATGAGTTGTTTTTGGTCTTGACTTTTGCCTAAGCCGCTTCTTTCGAGGTTTTCAACCTAGTAGAATCTTTTTTTTTTGGTCATACACAATTTAGACTCATGTGGGCAAGGAGTGTAGCAACGTGCAGTTTACGCTCATGCATCAAGAAGCATCATGACTTGCAGTTTAGGCTCATACATCGAGGAGCGTTGGTGACCTTCATGGGAAGTACTGCTTCAGAAATTTTCCGTTGATCGGACCAACTCTAAGACCATCCTTATCAACGATTTTGTATGCTCCACTTGAATAGGCTTCTTTCACAACATACGGCCCATCCCATTTTGAGGTAAACTTGTCACCTATGCGTTTGTTGAGGATTATGGGTCGTCGAATAGCTAGGACTAAGTCTCCCACTTGGAATGATCGTGGCCGCACTTTTTTGTTGAAGGCTCTAGCTAGTCGAGCTTGATAGCACTCCAATTTTTGTTGTGCTTCTAATATTTTCTCATCCAATGCCTCTAATTCTGCTAGGTGAAGTTGAGCATTCTCCTCAGACGTGAGTCCTTCTTGGATTGCAATCCGCAATGATGGAATTTGTTGCTCCAACGAAAGGACTGCTTCCACGCCATATACTAAAGAGTAAGGAGTTGCTTGTGTAGCAGTTCTGAAGGTTGTCTGGTATGCCCACAAAGCTTCACCAATTTTCTTATGCCAATCTATCTTGTTCTTTGCAACAAATTTCTTCAAAAGGTTACCAAGCGTCTTGTTAAAAGCTTCAGCAAGGCCGTTGGCGGGTGCATTATAAATTGAAGATTTATGTTGTTTGAAACTGAACTTCTCGCATAGACTCTTCACGAGCTTGTTGTCAAATGGCGTTCCATTTAGTGATTATGTATCTTGGTATGCTGTACCTAAAAATTATATATGACTTGATAAAATTGACAATGGTTTCCTTTTTCACCTCCTTGAGTGGAACAACTTCAGCCCATTTAGAGAAGTAGTCAGTAGCGGTCAATATGTACATCTCTCTCTTTGATGACTTTGGAAGTGGTCCAACAACGTCAAGTCCCCATGCATCAAAAGGTCATGAAGCTACAGTTGGGTGAAGAGGATCTGGAGGTTGGTGGATGTAGTTGGCATGAAATTGACATGCTTAACATCTTTTGGCATGATCCATGCAATCCTTCACCTTTGTCGCCTACTAGTAGCCCATCCTATTGATGAGAAAATGGAGCTTGGGACCAGATTGGTGTGGTCCACATGAGCCAGAATGTACTTTCTCCATCGCTTGGCGGGCTTCTTCTTTTTCAAGACATCCCAAGAATAGTCCTTCAAAAGAGAGGCGAAACAATGTCCCCTTATAGAAGATGAATCGTGGTGCTCTTCGTTTGATGTCTGTTCTTTGTCGCGGATCTTCAGGTAACTTTCCATGTTCAAGGTACTCTATCAGTGGTTGCCTCCAATCTTCTTCTTCAATCATCACTCGAACAGACGTGTGATGGCTTTCGTTAATTTGAAGATCTAGAAGTCTAAGAATAACCCATTAATGACATACGTATACCTTTGTTGACTCATTCTCTCCAAGTGCCATCGTCGTAGCCAAGTTAGCCAAAGCATCAACCTTGTGATTTTCTTCTCTAGAGACATGGTTTAAGAACACTTGGTCGAATTTTTCAAGTAAACCAGAAGCATATTGATGGTATGGCAATAGATCTTCCTTCTTTACCTCGAAACTCCCCAAAAGTTGGTTGATGATAATCTTAGAGTCGACGTAGATCTCCAACTGCAGAATCTTCATTTCTAATGCCATTTCGAGACTGATGATCAAATCTTGGTACTCTGCGGTATTGTTGGAGTGTGTTTCACCTAAAATAAAGGAGAATGGCAAGACTTGTCTTTATGGAGAGATCAACACAACACCTTCCCCCGCATCATTACGACGTGCAGATCCATCAAAGAACATTGTCCATGGTGGAAATTCTTTGATGAAGAAAACATCTTCCTCTGGAAACTCATCTGAAAGCTCCCATTCTACCGGAAGAGGGTGATCAGCCAGAAAATTAGCTAGTGCTTGTCCTTTCACAGCTTTTTGAGGTGTGTATGTGATCTCATATTGGTTAAACAATATGGACCATCTTGCTAGGTGTCCAGAAAGAACAAGTTGAGTCATCACAAACTTCACGGGATCTGCTCAAGAGATAAATTTGATGGTGTATACTTCAAAATAATACCTTAGCTTCTTTATTCCATAAAGTAACGCTAAGCATATTTTCTCAACAAGTGTATAGTTCAACTCAACTCCTATCAGAGTTCGACTAAGGTAGTACAAGGCTTGTTCCTTTCCTTCCTCATCTCTTGAGCAAGTGCTGCTCCAAGTGAACGTTCATGTGCCGTGATGTAAAGTATCAATGGCTTCCCAAGCATAGGCGCCCCTAACACAGGTGGATTTAGCAAGTATGTTTTAATGCTTTATCCTTCCTCAATAGATGATTGAAGGAATGACACCGTCCGACTAGGATGAACCTCCGGATGAATGCTAATTTTCCTTGGAGACTTCGAAGCTCTCTTACGTTCTTTGGCTTGGGCATTTTTTGAATGGCATCAATCTTTGTAGGATCAACTTCAATTCCACAATGACGCACAATGAAGCCAAGAAACTCTCCTGAGGTAAATTCAAATGCACACTTGAGTGGATTCATCTTCAAGTCGAATTTTCTTAACCTTTCAAAAACAATTCGAAGGTCTTCAGGGTGATAACTGATAACTAGGGAATATGATGCATTTACACTCCTTCTTGCTTAAGTTTTGATTAGAAATATGTACAAAATAGTCCCACACAAGTTGTGCTTGATTGTAGGTATGATCAACAAGGTGAGAAGATGTCAAAGATCAGCTCAAAAAGGAGTGAAACTTGCACAAGTACCAAGACAAGACAAAGCTCAGTCAAACAGGGCCAGTACGACCGCACATCATTCTGTGTGGTCTGCATAAGTGAAGTTCAGAGAGGGTGTTATTCAGGACAAAAGGCAATGCGGCCGCAAGGGGTTTTGTGTGGTCCGCATTGGGATCATTGTGGCCGCACTGGATTTAGTGCGGTCCGCAGAGCCAAGGTTCAGAGAGGTGGTGTTTTGGAGGTCGAAGATAAATGCGGTCCACGGTCTTTTTTGTGCGGACTGCAATGGAAGCCACCGCGGCCACACTCAATTTCGTGCGGTCTGCATTGCCCAAGTTCAGAGAGCTGGATATTCAAGTCAAGAGCCTTAGTACGGCCGCACTTGATTTTGTGTGGTCCGCACTAGCCCCGCAGGGGTATTTTGTCCAAGAATTTTAGCCTAGTATAAATAGATTATTTTCCCATTTTTAGGTCATCAGATAGTTTTTGTATTGGGATGCGCTCGTGACTTCGCTTATTTTATCTATTTTGAGTAATTTTAGCTTCATTTCAACATTGAATCTTCAAGTTTAACTTAGTAATTAATTAATATGAGTTTTTCTTTACCTATTTCTTTGTTTTCTTCGCTAATTATGAGTAGCTAGACCCCTAAGCTAGGGTTGTGGCTCAACCCTAGTATGGGTAATTGATGGGTTCTGTTTTGATGTGTGATTATCTATGGGTGTTTGATATTTGGACTAATTTCATGTTTAATTGCTGAATTAGTGGTTGCAAACACTAGTTTGTGTTTAGTTGACTTTGGCTCTTCTTGAGAAAGAGAGCCTAAGTCTCTGAAATTGGTCCAATGAGGAATTAGGGCATACTCAAGAGATTGATAGCCCCAATTAAAGGGTTAAACCTAGAGATAGTAATACCCGACTTGAACCTTGATTTTTTGTGCAAATTTGCATACCCAATTGGTTTTGAGAAAGTCAATTCGTGCAAAAATCACTCGAACTACCGGGAGGTATAGAGTGAGTAGAATCGTGCAATAGTTTAACCTTAGCTTATTTTAGTTTAATTGAGCATTGTAGTTTTATAAAATTAGAATCATAATCCAAACCAAAAATGTGTAAAAGTACAATTTGGAGAAAATACACAACTCCACTTTAGATAGTCACCCAACTCCAATATCTAGCTCCCTGTGGAAATCGATCCCGACCTTAATCGGGTAAAAGCTACTTCGACCTCTCTCGCTACTCCATAGTAGTGCAGGGTTGGCCTTGATCACTTTTTGGCGCCGTTGCCGGGGAGCTAACGGTTTTGGCTATCTATCTACATAGTTTTGTGTATTGTTCTTCTTTCCTTCTGTGTTACTAATTTGTTTGTGTCGCAACTTCAGGTACAAAATGGTAGCAAACTTAAACACTGCACCTTTTGCAGATCTTCCGCCGGGGGAGGAAGTAGATGACAATGTTGAAGATGAGGTCCCGATTGTGCCTCAAGGACAAAGGAGAGGCCGCCAGGCCAATGATAATATTCCAGACCCTCCCCCGCCACCCTCAAGAGTGGCTCCTCGAGTGCTTCCAAACCAAGGCTATGCAAGTGCAATTGTCCCGCCCCGGATCCGGGCGGCCAATTTTCAAATAACCAATGTGATGCTGACATTGCTAGAGCAGCATGGGTATTTCATGGGCTCTGCAAATCAAAATGCTTATAAACATCTCAAGGGGTTTGTGGATACCTGTTGGGGTAGCAAGCAATCTAATGTGTCCGAGGATGCATTACGGTTGAGACTCTTCCCATTTTCACTTAGAGGGAAAGCACTTGATTGGCTTGAGCAACTTCCCCACCATTCCATCACTACTTGGGATGAGTTGGCGGATAAGTTCATTGCAAAAATTTTCTCACCAAGGCATATGGCTGCATTGAGAGATGAGATCTTGGCGTTCAAGCAAGAGCACACGAAACATTTGCATGATATTTGGGAGCGCTATAGAAAAATGGTGAAGGAATGCCCCAACAATGATATGACTGAGGCGATGATCCAACAAACCTTCTACCGGGGCATTAACATAACAAACCAATGCATAGTGAACCGACTTGTCGGGGGAAACTTTATGAAGCTGTCTTATGATGAGGCTTGTGACATTCTTAACGAGATGGCTGACACTTCTTATGCATGGCAAAGTAGAGCCAATGTGCCCCATGGTGACCCCACGGTTACTCATTTGCACAAGGAGTTATATGATCATGGGCATGCTATAGCTAAGTTGACAACTACGATGAACCAACTAGCAAAGGCACAGTTGCAAAAAGTTCAAAATCCTCGCCAAATGAATGCCATGGAGGGGGTTAACATGCTTGTCAACAAAAGAAAACAAAGAGGTCAACAGAACCAAGGGAATTCTGAGCAATTTGACAATGATTGTGGTGGATTTCAAGATGATGGTTTTGATGGGTAGAATGAAAAGGTGAAATACGTGAATAATTATGAAGGCCAAAGAGACAATTCTTCCAACCAACAACAATGGAGACCCCAAGGCAATTGGAGCAATCAACAACAACAAGGCAATGGTAATTGGGGGAACAACAACCAAAACAATAACTGGGGCAATCAGAGCAACAATCAAAACAGCCAAGGAAATTGGAATGGTAATAACAACAATTGGGGTGGTAACAACAATCAAGGTGGATGGAATAATGGAAATCAAGGAAACCGAGGGCAAGGCTTTCAAAGGCCCCCAATGTACCAACAACCGAAAAATTCACCCCCATTTCCATCTCAAGGTCCTAGTTCTTCTAGCAATGATATGGGTAGAATTGAAATGATGTTCGAACAAATGATGAAGAAGAATGCGGATTTGGATGCTCAGTTGTCTTCTCACAATACTTCCATTAGAAATTTAGAGGTGCAGCTAGGCCAAATCTCTCAGTCCTTGAATACTCACCCTAAGGGTGCTCTACCAAGTGATATGGTAGTGAATCTGAAGGGCGGGAAAAATTATGTCATGGTGGTAACTACAAGGAGTGGACAAGGCGGTGATGTGAATGCCTCCAAACAAAAGCAAATTTTGAGTGATGATGTTGAGTTGCAAGAAGATGAAGTTCCTTTGGTGGTTGAAAATGTGATTGATGATAATGCGAATAAAGAAGTGAGGATTGATATTAAAGATGCCAAGGTGGAAACTCAAAATAATGTGAACCCGTCTAGGGAACACATAATAGACATGCCGGAGCCAGTTGTGCCGAAAGCCAAGGCTCCTTTGCCAAGGCCACCTCCGCCTTATCCTTAAAGGCTCGTAAAAAAATGAAAATCGGTTTAAAAAGTTCATTGACATGATGAAGAGCTTATCCATTAATGTGCCTTTGGTGGAGACTCTTGAACAAATGCCGGGCTATGCTAAATTCATGAAGGACTTGGTGAAAAAGAAACGGTCCATGGATTGTGAAACTATAAAGATGACTCACCAAGTTAGTGCAATAGTGCATTCAATGGCCCCGAAGCTTGAAGATCCTGGTGCTTTCACCATTCCTTGCACTTGGAAGTGCGGACTTTGCTAAGGCTTTATATGATTTGGGGGCTGGTATCAATTTGATGCCTTACTCAATTTTCAAAACTTTAGGTATTGGGAAACCTAGGCCGACTTCCATGAGATTACAAATGGCAGATAGAACGATGAAGAGACCATTGGGTATTATTGATGATGTGCTTGTCCGTGTGGACAAATTTATCTTGCCAGCTGACTTTGCGATCTTGGATTGTGCGGTGGATTATGAAGTTCCTATCATATTGGGGAGACCTTTCCTTACTACGGGGAAGGCCTTAGTTGATGTGGAAGTAGGGGAACTCACCTTCCGAGTGGGTGCTGCAAAATTGGTCTTTCATGTATGCAAGCCAATGAAGCAGCCCAACAGTTCCGAGGTGTGCTCTTTTG